AGGAGGGAGGGAGGGATGGGGTGGGACGGACTATGGCGAGATGGGAGGGAGGGAGGGATGGCGAGATGGCGATGGAGGGAGGGACTATGGTGAGATGGGAGGGAGGGAGGGAGGGAGGGAGGTCCTATGGAAGATGAGGGGGAGGCGGAGGAGGAGAGAAGTACAAGACGAGGGGGAGGCGGAGGAGGAAAGAAGTACAAGAAGTAACAGAAAAAGAAGATGAGGAGAGTAGGGGGAAGGAGGAAGGTTTCCTTTTTCTTTTTTGCCTTTTTTTTTTTTTCTAACCTGGCGCATCTCACGCGACCGACTAGGCGATGGACAAGATGGCGGCGGCGGTAGGGCGGTATGGCGGCGGCAGGGCGGTATGGCGGCGGGGTATGGCGTTAGGGTATGGCGGTCGAAGAAGAAGAAGAAGAAGATGGGCGGAAGAGGAGGAGGAGGAGAGAAGAGAAAGAAGAAGAAGATGAGTGGGAGGCGGAGGAGGAGAGAAGAAGAAGAAGAAGAAGATGTGCTATGCCGGCGTTAGGGTATGGCGGCGGCGTTGGGGTATGATGGTGGGGTATGGCGGCGGGGTATGGAGGCGGGGTACGGTGGAGGGAAGTAGTAGGAGAGAAGAAGAAGAAGAAGAAGAAGAAGAAGAAGATGACGAGCGGAGCAGGTTTTTTTTTCCCCCTTACCTGTCGTTTATCTCGCGACCTATCACTAACGAATGTAAAAACAAAGAAGAAAAAGAAGACCGTCCGAAGAGGAGGAGGAGGAGAGAAGAATAAGAAGAAGAAGATGAGGAGGAGGACGACGACGAGAGATGAAGAAGAAGAAGAAGAATAAGATGGGCGGAAGAGGAGGAGGAGGAGAGAAGAGAAAGAAGAAGAAGTTGAGTGGGAGGCGGAGGAGGAGAGAAGAAGAAGAAGAAGAAAAAGAAGAAGAAGAAGAAGAAGATGTACTATGCCGGCGTTAGGGTATGGCGGCGGCGTGGGGGTATGACGGTGGGTTATGGCGGAAGGGTATGGCAGCGGGGTACGGCGGAGGGAAGAGTAGTAGGAGAGAAGAAGAAGAAGAAAAAGATGAGGGGGAGGAGGAGGAGGAGAAAAGAAGATAAAGAAGAAGAAGATGATAGGGGGAGGAGCAGCAGTGAAGAACTCAAAGAAGAAGGAAAACAGGACTATAAGAAGAAGAAGAAGAAGAAGAAGAAGAAGAAGAAGAAGAAGAAGAAGAAGAAAAAGAAGAAGATGATGAGAGGGGGAGGAGGAGGAGGAGACGAGAGGCGGAAGAATGATCGGAGAAGGAGCAGGAGAGTAGAAGAAGAAGAAGAAGAAGAAGAAGAAGAAGAAGATGATGAGCAGAGCAGTTTTTTTTTTTTTTTTCCTTACCTGTCATTTATCTCGCGACCTATCGCTAACGAATGTAAAAAAAAAGAAGAAAAAGAAGATCGTCGGAAGAGGAGGAGGAGGGAAGAAGAAGAAGAAGAAGAAGAAGAAGAAGAAGAAGAAGAAGACCGGCACTCCATGTCGACGGGCGGCAGGGGATGTCGGCAGGCAGGAGCACCACGATCGACAATGCTGGCGACGGGCGACGGGCGACACGACGACGACGGGTGAGTGAAGCTCCCAGGCGATGGCGACGAGGGCAGCTACTTCGACGAGGGGCAGCAGCACGAACGCAGGCGTCTGGAGCAGGTTTCGAGGCCCCGTTTGGACAGCCAATGCAGGCTGCCCAGCCAGTCGCTAGTTCAAACGGGGCCTCCGTTTCCCTCCAAAAACGAACGGCCCTCTGGCCATCGATCATGGATGATCGACGGCAAGAGGGCCGTCCCAAATTCGAATAAAAAAACAGGCCTCACAGGCCCGACGCGCCGTTTGCTCGGCGTGGTCGGACCCGGTAGGCCCTGGGGAGGCCAAAACCACCCGATGTGGGGTTGGAAACCCCCCGCCAACAAGGTGTGCTGGGGGGGCCCGGCCCCCAACCGGGCCGCCCGCCCGGCCAGGCCGCCCAGGACCTCCCCCGGGCGGGCGCCGGTCGGCCGGGCGGCCAGGATCCGTAGTTCATTTATTTCATCTCTGACCACAAATATTTTTTCCTGTCTGCAGGGCTTGGCCCTATTTCTCAGCAGGTAGAGGTGGTTTAAAGAGTTCGTTTGACTTAAGTGGACCCTAGCTTTTGAGCACACAACATGTTTGTTTGTCGGGGAGTGGTAGGAGTGATTGCAATTGTCCATTTATTTCATCTCTAATGGTAAAGCATGTCATGAGGAGTTTAGACTCTGTGTTTATTTCCTCAAGGTTTGATTCAGTTATCATACACATGCAGAGGTACGAGGAAATGGTAATCAGATGAAACTGGAACAAGGGCTTGAGGGAGTTACCGGAGTTGTTTAGAGTGCAATATGTAGGCTGCGCCCGGTCTGCTTTGTGGCGGTTGCAGAATACTAACACCTGTATGCATGTGTTGGCTTGTATGATAATATATAGTTGCTGCGCGCCCCTCCCCTTCCCCCTCTCCCCCCCCTTCCCTTCTCTCTCTCTCTCTCTCTCTCTCTCTCTCTCTCTCTCTCTCTCTCTCTCTCTCT